GTGGTCAACCGCCGGTGGGCTCGGAGCTGCTGTTGCCGGCGCCTCTGGCACTCCTAGACGAAATGGGAATGTCTTTGAAGCAGCTTAGCCTATATTCAATTCAAAGTCTTTGATGCAAAAAGAGCGGCTCCTTCTTCAGAAACAGCAGGCGCAGAGTGCTCACCTGGCGGCACCAGTCCTGTTAGTGATTCAAAACAGCTGGTTTTCATTATGCTTGGTGTTTGGGTTCCGATCTTTAAAGTAAACATCATATAATATAAAGGATTACACTATGTGTTCGTCTACCGACTCATTGCCTCCTGCTAGCTAGAAGGAGGCCTTCGAACTTACGCTGGCATCCACGGTGGGTATCGGGATTCAGGATTTATGGGGGCCCTTGCTGGAAAACGCTCACATCGTGACCTATTTCCCTATATCTATTTCCTTACGCCTCCTGCTGCTAACAGAAGGAGGCCTTGCCTCTTAGTAACTTAGTATGTCCTCGAAAGCCAGAGTCCCGACAGGCCTGGCTCGAGATCATCGCCCAAAGCACGAGGAGGCTTGCGAGGGCGCGCTCCTGCGCAAGTGGCCAAGGTGTCTGCTTTCAATGAACTGGCACGCACTCATTGATCCTCCACGGGCAGGTCGTCCATCGCCAGACGGGCCCGCTGCAGATTCATTGCGCTCGGACTCGGCCGGGAGTCCTGGCAACGCAACATTTGCATGGCGTAGGCATGATGACATTGGCAAGACGTGCGGTCCTGAAGACACTCTGATGTGCTGCTCCAGGCAGGCTTGTAGCCCACTCGACCCAGCTCCTCCAAGGCTTGCCAGGAGGCTGCGCGGGCTTGGCAACGCAGATGACGACGAGGACGCAGACAACTGGTTCAGCTGTTGCTGCATTGACTGCATCATCTGCATTTGCTGTTGGTGCTGCATTTGCCCCATCATCTGCCCCATCATCTGATACATTTGATTGTGCTGTGCCTGCGCCTGCTGCTGAGCTTGGGCCGCCTGGGCTTGTTGCTGCTGTTGGCTGAGGCTGAATTGCAACATCATTTGTGTCAGTACCGTTTGGGGTTGGTTATCTGCCATCTGAGGCGGCAGTACCGGCGGCAGCATTCCAGTTATCTGAGGGGGCAGGTAGAATTGCTGCTGCGCACCTCCTGCAAGCAGAGGCGGGTTGGGGGGCGGAATCATCTCGGGAATCGGCGGCGGATTCGCCACGGGCTCAGGTTGGGTCTGCGGGGGCTCAGGCTCGTGGGTCTGCGGAGGACCAGGAGGCTCAGGGTGCCCCTCTGGGGGATTTCCCCCTGGAGGTGGCGGCGGCAGGACGCGACCCAGCACCGTCGTCAGCAGCGCCAGCATGATAACCAACATGCTTTGCAAACTGGAGAGGGAGGTGTGCGGGCTTGCGCAGCTGCCTTGAGCCAAAGTGCTTGACAAACAACAATGTTGCTCATGGCTTGCTGCAACTCAGTTCACAAACCAACCTACGAAACTACTTGCAAGAGCAACACGCAAGGAGTGTCTGTGCTTTTAATGCCATTTCCTTAGGAAACTGCCTGAGGTTCGTCCGCCCTTGATAAAGGCGGAAAATTTATTTCACGCAGGGGCAACTCCTCAGTGCGGGCTTGTGTCACGCTTGCGCCTCGCAGGACTCACACGGCGGTCTTCTTCGCGCAGGACCGGCTGTGCTGACGAAGCTGCTGAGTCATCTTCACGGTGCGCCAGCTGACAGCTGCGGAAGAATGTATGCCAGCGTTGCGTCCAAGCCCCATCAGGCTCACGCCACCAAAACCATCTACGACCGCTGAAGCTCTCAGGCTGCACTTCAGTGGACACTCGCTGGTGTTTCGCCGGCTCCATCGCCGCAGCTCTGAAATTGTTGCCTTGAAGCCTAATGCTGCAAACACCACACTGCATTCAGCAAAGAGCAAATTTAGGAATAATTCCTGGAGGCGGCTACGCCTGGTCAACCCAATGCACATTACACCTCCCAGCCCCCTTCTTTTACAATTGTTTGCAATGGGTGTACTTCATTGTACTACCTATACTATATAGGGGGGTATAAGGCTACCTTAGTACTGTAAGGGGGCAGGGAGGCTTAAGGAGAGGTTGCGCGCGCAGATTTTTTGCTCATCAGCGAACTCTTCCCCGTGAGTATAGTGCGTCGAGCCACCAGCACCTTAGTTGCGCGACAACATGGCTGTCTTCCGAGCGATGGCCCTGCTGCTGCTCGGACTAATTTGTGCTGCAGCAGTCCCTCGGAAAAAAAAATTGGTTCTGCAGTGGCGCTCACAGAAGCTGATTGGAATGCTTGGACAGAGCACGTGCGCTCAAAGCACAGTTGCAGGATGTATGCCTTGATCACACTTACTGGCATGCTGGCTCTACGGGCTGGGGAGGCTGCCATGTTGAGGCGCGAAGACATACAGCTGGAGTCGACTCCACCTCAGGTGAAAATCCCCAAGGAAAAAGGCCGTGGAAAAAGTCCTGGCTCCATTCCTCTACTGCCTGAGCAAGTTCAGATTCTTCTCTCGTGGATACATCAAGGCATCCATTGCACTCGGACAAAGAAGATCAACCAACACTGCGAGCAAGAAGTGCAAGATTCGTATTACATTCCAAGCAAGGGGAGATTATTCGAATCACGTCACAAATATGGCAACAAGAAGCTGCGAGTGGACCATCTAGGCTATCATGCCATATGGACTGCAGTGAGGTCTTTGGCTGAAGGCTTCATCAAAGAACGCCCACATGTCGCTTCCAACTGGCGACAGTTGAGGAGTCACTCTACAAAAATCACTATGATGCTAGGCGAGGGAGTGTCGTTAGCAATCTCCATGGCTTTTGCCAGACACTCCAAAAACTCCATTCGCACGCACTTGCTCTATGGAAAGCTAACAAGCTCCCATATCCATAAGTACCTGGCAGAACACAGGCAGCAAGTGCTGGTCAAGGCACCCCTGTCTTGCACTGCCGCAGATGCAGCAGCAAGACCTCCCAAAACGGCAAGCATCCTCTCGCCGAAGATGTTGCAGCACCTGCGCGGCGGGTGAAAGGAAAGCAAAGCCCTGCTAGCAATGAGGCTTCCACCAAGGACCCCCTGCAGGGATGTACATTGAACAGTGCTGTTGCATGGTACGATGAAGGCAAGCTAAACAAGGATGAATTCGAGAAAGTCAAGTGTCACCTGCTGCGGAAAATCCAGTAGCGCCTATACTATCACAGTGACCGAACGTGCTGAAAAATCCGGCCTGCTTCTCAGTAGCCAGGACAGACGCCAGTCCGACTGCGACTTTTCAATGTGAAGCAGCAGGTGTAGTGCAGCAATGCCTCGTTGAGGTTCAAAGCCAGCTTCGCATCCGGGAATGCCTGGCATGTTTATTATTCTTATTTTGCTGCGCAAGTAATCCTTGACTCTGCTCGCCCCACCTCTGCAGACCCGCGCAAAATCAAGGTCTGTCGGAGGCTGCTGCCGGCCGGTGCGTTGGCCTGCAACTGCCAGTCACTTGCAATTGTCGATCCGGAAGGCCTGCATCAAATCCTGAGCAATGGCCAAGTTCTCCCCCATAAATGCATCTGTGATGAAAACATTGCGGTGGATGCTGGTAGCTCTGCGGAAGGCCACGCACGATCCACGGGATGCTTTGCTGTCTGCATACTCGGGTGTGCAGAGAGAGGCGCCCATTATGCCCGCAGTGAACTTAGGATGGGCAGCTGCATTCGCAGGGTCCTGCACGACAATGAGTTCGGCCTCTGACATGTTCGCCACTTGTCTGACATGTACTGGTACACGGTAGCCAGGAATTGTCGAAAACAGCTTCACGTTCGAGTCCCACGGAACCTGCAGCAGTAGCATGATCATTTGTGCTGATTGCCTCCTGGCCCAAAGGAAGGAGGCCAAAAACAAATCCACGTACTGATACTGACATTGCCACATCCTGCTAGTGATTCAATACGGTGTTTGGCTTCCGATCTTTAGAACAAACTGTAAAAACGATTGCAGTATCTCTTCGCCTACTTATGCCTCCTGCCGGGCAGAAGGAGGCCTTCGAACTTACGCTGGCATCCACAACTTACGCTGGCATCCACAGCGGGTATCCAATTTAAGGGTTTGGGGGTCCTTGACGGATATCTATTTCTCTACGCCTCCTGCTGCAAGCAGAAGGAGGCCTTCCTCTTAGCATCTCTTCGAAAGGCGTGCTCTGAACTATGCTTTGCAGCAAACAATCAAACAAAACATTACAATGCTGGACACAAAAAACAAATCAAACATTTAGCCAGCTAAACATCTTCAGCTTGGGCTTCCCCATTCCTTGTACTTGATATCTCCTTATTATACTCTGTCTAGTAGGATGTTATTTCTTGCACCTAACAACACTTTTTAAGGTGTACACCGGCAAACTCTGAAACTTTGGGCGCACGAAGCCTGCTCTTTAGCGATTTTGGACCTGATGTTGTTGTTCTTGCTGTTGCGCTCGCGTTGAGCCTTTGCAATCTTCTGCAGGAGCACGGTGGACTGATCCACAAGCTCGGGCGTGATCTCTTCGGGCAAGAGATGTCCTTGCAGATACGCCTCCACACGAGCTTTGGCCTCGTTCCCGTTGTTGAAGTTAATCTCGCTCAGCAACTCGGGCGTCAAGGAGTTCAACATCTCGTCAACGGAAGTGATTGTCTTTGGAAGACGGCCGATTGCTCCTGGATCTGCGCTGACAGTCTTGTCCACGATTGCAGCCCGCGCTTGCAAAAAGCCCGTTTCGCTCTCCCGCTTCTGGCAATGTGGCCTGGCTCCACTATCGTGGGAGGGATGGGGCTTAATGATATGTTCTCATCATTTACGAAAACGTTTTCATACGAACTACCCCAGGAAACCATTCTGTTGTAGGCAAGCTGCCGCGGTATCCCAGCATCCCACCGTTTTTGACGACTCTGACCGCTTGACCGGGCGCGGCCGCACACCGAGCGCCAAATTGCGGCTGCGTCGCCAATGAGAACCTTCTCAGTGGTGCTGGACAGCTTGGGCCTGACATCCTGAGCGAGGACCACGCAGTCGTGCTCGTCATCCAAGTTCTCGTCCTGGCTCTTGCCATCACCAGCCGAAGCCTTAGCGTGCGCAAATCCGCGCTCCACAGTGCTGGACGAAGCTGACCAGCCCCCACTGCGAGCCAACACGGCAATCAGTTCTGCTGGGTTCGACTTCCTCTTCTGCACGGCTTGCTTCCACGCCTCGAAGCTACTGAGGCCGCCCACGTGACATAGCTTGATGGCCAGGGACTCGTGATGTTGGAACTGATGTTGTAAAGCATCTGCATTGACACCAATTACTTTGGCAAGCTTCTGGAGCGCTTGCGCTCGCTCGCCGTTCTGGCACATCTGCTTGCACCGGGCCATGTCCTTGACGCTGAACACCTTGAAGCAAGCCATGATCTCGTAGCTTGGGAACTCTGCCTTGAGAACCCTCTCTGTCAGGGCGACGTAGGTTGACATCCGTCGAAGGCATGAGGACTTCACCCGCTCTTCCATGTCACCACCAAGCGAAACGGCTCTGCCCTGTGGCAGCAGAAACGTTTTCTTGGACTCCAGCTGCTGCAACATCACCGTGGTCAAGCAAGGCACCTGCAGACACATGCCCTCAAGGAACAGCTTGCTGATAACCTGTCGGAAATGCTGCACATGGAATGGAAACTCGATGATGTCCTCTTCGTTCTGGTCAGCGATCTCTACGAGGCGCTGGACTTCCAACGCTGCGTCGCCCAACATTGCGAGCTGCAGGCATTTTTCGGTGTTCAGCCACTGAAGAGTCTGCAAGCAGGCAGCTCCTTCTTCCGAACTGCTGCCTCGCAAGTCTGGCACACACGATAGTGTGCCCAGGATACTCTGAAAGGACATCACGATGCGTAGCAAAGTCACAGACTCACTTGCGTAGCGCTGTGGCGCATATCGCAAATCTTTGCCACACGAGGCATCGGGCAACCTTTTCCTGAAATCTTCATACAGCTGCTTGATGGCTGGCCTGTAGGTGATCAACTTGGCGATGCTGTTGGGCTTCTCCAGGAACTCTACCACACAGGCTTTGAGAAAGGACTCTGCTGCCCACGGCCGAGATAGCAGCCTGAACATTTATTTTTAGGAACGGTCAAACAAAAGTCTTTTCATAAAACATTTTTCACGTCTTCTTCAAAAAGATGGGCCTCTGCACTGCATGGGCTCTGTCTCGATTGATCACCTTCCGGCGCCATGCGCAAGAAAAGAAAATGCAAACGAAAACCCTTCCCTGGCCTTAAGGTTGCTGAGGAACTGGGATAACGAATCCAGAATTGGCGGGATACTAGGACCTGCCAGAGGACCACCCTGCAGCTCTCTCGCTGCCAGCTGCTCGTCAGCAGCGCTGTCTGCCGCAAAAGCTTCGATGCGCTGGCAAAGCCGGAGATGCAAGTCTTCATCCACCTCTGCTGGGCCTTTTACTTTCTGGGCGACCCGCAAGCCTCCATAATTGGGCGGAATATCTTTGCTGCAGAACTCTTTGATGCATGACATGGTTGCTTCTCGCAAGCCATCCGACCCTGGAGCCTGCAGGCTCGGTACATGCTTCCGCAGACCCACTGTGCCAGTCAGGATCTCTAGAGATGGTGTCACGAGCCTAAAACGCAGCAGGAAGCGATTCCCCCGCATGTCTTGTTGGATGCTGATGGTTACTGCGTCTTGAATCTTCTCCTTCAAGGCCCGGCGATGTGCGGCGGCTAAGCACCAACGCATCATACGACACTTTCCCAGGCCACCGACTGAGCTTACGACGCCTAGCCCTGGCTCGTGCAACACAGCTTTCCACTCTTCATAACTGGGAGCAGCCATGCTCTCGTCCACCTCACCTGGACTGGTCTCTGCAGCCATGCCTTTGGAGAAAGCAGCACTTGCTATCTGATGCGCTGGGGAGTCTTGGTGCTTTTGAAACCTTTGCACTCTCAAGTCACTTTGGATCTCATACCTTGCAAAGTGATGCCTATGCACCATGAGGCCCTC